ATAGTAATTTATATTCACTTTATATAACTCTTACCATGACCATCTCAGATATTATCATTTCTCTTTCAAAGATGAAGAAATGAAAGTTCGGCAGGGTCAAGTAAGTTGTCCAGTGTTCAGTATGATGGAGTGGGATGCACATGCAAGACTAACTACGACTGAAACATTTACTTCTGACTTTGCTATTCTGCTTCCACTCACTGAACATCTCTCTGTGCAAGGATCAGGTAAAATTCACTTCCTTTGTAATACTTTCCCTTATCACTGCTGGCTGAAATTACTTATCCTTCTAACTGTGGGTGTAATTTGTAATGCAATTTGCTTTAGATGTGTGTTTTTACTATAATGTGAACTCTTCAAGGTCAGCAACAATTTTTTTTAAATTTCTGTATCACCAGCATCTGGTATGAAGGCTGAAACAGAGAGGTTGCACAGCAAATGTTTTGCTATAATGAGAGAACAAATACATGAATTAAATGCGAATTAAATTTCTTCTATCTCCTTATGGTGGCAAATAGTATCCACGTGTTACGGATGAAGTCAAGTCAAACTTCATCTAGCTGTAGCTTCTGGATTCAGACTGTAAATTCTACAAGGGTTAGATCTATGCCCTTATTTTTCTTCACTGTGTTTGTAGTGTTTAGCTTGGTGCTTAGCATAATAAAAGTGGATGGGTGACAGAGAAAGGAATTTGTATACCCCAAATTTGAAAGGCTTTTCCCCCAGTACATTTAAACAAAACCTTACTGAAGGTCTACTCTAGAAAAACGCTGCTGGAGCTTGTTTACACTCATTCTCCTGTTCATTTAAGTCTTAGAGGGAGAAACAAAAATTACGAGTTATAGTTACAGAGAAAAAAACCTAGAAAGCTGGGGCAAAATATAAATTCCCTCATTACTTTGTTTTAGATATATAAGAAAACAGTTTATTCCTGAATGCATGTCTGTCTGTCTGGGGATTCATATCTATAGATCTAGAAAAAGGCATGTTCTCTAGGCTAGAACGGGGGCTGTGTGATTATATCAGTGGCAAGACACATGGGCTATCAGTGGACTCTTAGAGCTCACTTGCCATTCTTCATCCTCCTTTCCTAGTGCTTTCCAGTCATTTTATAAATTGAAAGATCTCACTTTCCAATCGTAGATAGAGCTCCTCTGAGGGATGTGGATATGGGTAGGCAAAAAATAGAAAAAGAGGAGGCAGAAAGAAGAGTTGTGGGATAAAGAAATAAGGAGAAGGGAAGAATGGAAAGATGGGGGAGAAGATAAAACAGGTAAAATAGGATTGGAAAAAAGGGAAGGGGTAGAAAAGGAAGGAGGAGAGAAAAGGGAAGATAAGGACGTGGCACAGAAGAGGAAGGCTGGGGGATACTGACAACCTCTTACCAAGTGGCATGAGTGATAATCAGCTTTTCTGGGAAGGGCCTATGTCTGGGCTACTGTAGGTCTGGAGGGGAGCTGGGGGAGCTGGCAGCAGTCCCTTACTCTAACTCAGAGACAGGAGTTGGCCTATAGGAGGAGTAGTAGGGTGAATATCATTATACAGCTTTTAGGACTCAACTACCTCATTTCCAAGGCAATGCCCAAGTAAGGCAAATGGACCACTGAAGTTCACACGGCTCTAACATGTCCAAGAGGTAGAACTCTGGAAATAAATACTACTCCTTCTCTTGGTAACTGTTATTAGCAAAATTGGGGAAAACACACACACACACACACACACACACACACACACACACACACACACACACACACACCAAAACCAAGTAACTCATTGCTTCCACAACTTGAATCAGCGTTTCTGGGGAAGGCCTATGTCTGCGGCTATTTTGGTTGTCCTACAGTGTTCAGTTCAGGGAAGTATGCTCAGCAGACATTTACTAAATGGTTAGACAGCTGAGAAATCTTAACATGAAGTATTGTTTTGGTTGGGGGCGGGTGGCAGGCATGGGAGGTACAGAAGAACACTTAACTGGTTCCTCTGCTGAGAAACCAGTCTCTGCTTTGTGGAGAAAAGGCTGAAGACACAATTAAGACTCCTAGAGTTAAGGCTTATATTATTTGTTATTAAAAAGGCAAGGCCTTAAGATGTGCTTTTTAACAGTCTTTAGTTTGGCTGTAATTTAAGATGACTTTTACAAATTAGATCCTAATCCTAGGACACACAGATGGCTGTTACAGAATAGCCTTGCAAAAACACTAGTCATTTGACTTGAAAGAGAATTCAGAGAAGAATGAAGGGCCTTTAACTCTCACCCCACCCCTGGCTCTAGGATGCCTAAAGAGTCTTGGGTGGGCTTTCTTAGTTTAAGTCTGGAATCTGGGTGGGCCTAGAGCATCTGTTCTCATTTGGACCAGCCTCTCTGTTCATTCTGGAACCAGAGATTAGGGGAGTCCGAGCTTATTAACATTCAACAACAGTTACTGATGCTTATGTATGAAGCACTATGCTGGCAACTGCAGGGAGATAGTCACAGGCCCAACAACACTCTGCATTTCACATCACATCTCCCCAGTTTCCTTTCAACAGCAACTTTCCACAGTTCAGAGTTTCACCCCGTGGAAAGAGGTTCTTAATAGTGATCAAAAAGCCTAGCTCCTTTTAAGATATTTTCACCCCATCCCTGTCAGTAATAAGCTTTAAAAATTAATTTGAAAGAAAAAGTTTAATTTTAAAATGCAGAAAGTCTATTTCTTCCAGTACTTCCATTTTTAAAGATGAGACCCATTCAGAAAGGGAGTGACTTAAAACTAAGGGTTGGGAAGGGCAAACTTAGCTCCTAAGTTTTTTAAGTTCTCTGAGGTGAGATTTTCATCACAGAACATAAAGTATGAGAACCAGGCTGATCTTGAACCCTTTGATATTGGTTCTTTGTTAAATGTTCACACACTGAGAGTTCAACTTCAGTGACAGAAGTTAAGGTAGTTTTCATACTTGGCTGTGTGGTAAGAACATATGCAGGCCTGTGTTCCCTTGTGCATGTTTGTGTGCCTTATATACAAATAAAGGGAATGACCTTGGAGCAGGAGGCAGGACCAGTGAAAAAAGGAACAATAGTCAGCACCTGGGTTCCACTACAGTCTCCTGGGCTTAGAAATAAGTGGCAAGATCCTCATTCCACACAGAGGGGATATTACTAGTTTCTCTCTCTATCCTGTAAACGTGACAGCCACTGTGAGAGACTCAGATGTGCCTTAATGAAATTCTTGGTTTTTGTATGCTAGGTTACTATGCCTAGATCATAATGGAATCACAGAAGATTTACTGTACATTTTAGAGCTAAGGAAGTCTAAGTCCCATCCCATATCAAGCAGGAATATCAGGGATGAATCCCTCTCCATATATATCTGTTATTCCTGAAAAGAGTAGTACTTGGTAATCTCCAATGATAGGAAAATTAACACTTCACGACACAACATATTCCTTTCTTATAAAATGCTTTGTTACACTATGCCAAATTTTGTCTCATGTAACTTTCAACTCATTGGTCCCAGTTCTGCCCCTGGAGCCTCAAAAAATCAGATCCCTCTTTTACAAGGCATGCCTTCAAGTAGCTGAAGACAACAATCACATCTCCCATGGTCCTTCCTTCTTTAGAGGTAATGTTCCTTAAATGACACGATTTGCAGCTCCCTCACCTTCCTACCAGCCCTGCTCCTATTTCTTCAGGCTTCATTTTTCAGTGTGAAGCCTAAAGACTATTTCAGGGGTAGTTTTTTTTTTTTTTTTTTTTTTTTTTTTTACATAGGTTTTTGGGTACCAGGTGGTATGTTGTTACATGAGTAAGTTCTTTAGTAGTGAGCTGTGAGATTTTGGTGCACCCATTATCCAGGGGTAGTTTATCTTAGTGCAGAGTTAAACAGGACCATTAAGTTAACCTCTGGTTGGGATT